TGGGACAAGCAAAGACATCATGCTTTCAGACTTTCTTTGAGTACAGGAATGTATGGTCAGATAGGAAGCTCATACTGAACCAAACTTTGTCCTCAGGCACACAGAAGGGGCAGGTGACATACACCACTCTATCGTCACAGTACTTCCTGGGACTCAAGTCACGGCCTTCAACAGGCCCTCTCCTTTAAGTGGCCCAAGAGACCTAATGTCACCAGATGCTTTCTGTAGCAGTAGGAAACAGGCCAATGCTTACGGAACCCTGTGCCTACCTAAGAGCCTACCTCAGAGCCCACCTCACTGTGATACTTTCTGTAAACTTGGAGCTTACCAGCATGGGTCTTCATGGGGCATGCTGTTTCAGGAGTCCACCTGCTGCACAGTCTCTGAACAGCTCCTGATTGGTCCTCTTCTTCTACCAGCAAAAGTTACCCTTGCTCCCACTAATGGCTGCTGACCTTTATTGCCATCATGCTTTGTTGTACCCAAGCTTAAAACTGTTGTTCATCCTTTTGATCCCTCCATTCCTGAAATTAGGCTTATTTCAGGAACTCACAACTGATTTAACAACAGAAAACTTCATTCTTGTTTAGTTTTTGTTTGTTTTGACACAGGTTCTCACTATGTAGCCAGAACTTTCTTTGTAGACCAGGCTGGTCTCAAACTCACAGAGATCCACCTGCCTCTGCCTCTGCCTCTGTAATGCTGGGATTAAAAGTGTGTGCCACCATGTTCAACAAAGGAAAATCTTATGACTTTTTATTCCACAGGCTAAGGGAAGAAGTCATTTGATTATCTTAATATATTCAGAAAAAAAAGCATATGATAAAACTTCTTAGTAACCACCTCCAGAAAGGATTCTTAATAATCTGGAAAAGGTGGCTGCAAACTTACTGCCAATACCCCTTTGGTTGGAAGCATCTTCTTCAGGAGCCTAAAATGGGCCAATGACACCTGGGTGTTCATATACACCCCAAGTAGCCCAGAAAGTTAGGAGTTGGAGATAGACTGCTGTGCAAGTTCAGTCCTGAACCTCTGTCCCCAAAAGCTGCTAACAAAGTAAGTGCTGGGGGTGGGGGGGGTTGGAGAGATGGCTCAGAGGTTAAGGGCACTGGCTGCTCTTCCAGAGGTCATGAGTTCAATTCCCAGCAACCACATGGTGGCTCACAACCATCTATAATGAGATCTGGTTCTCTCTTCTCCCATGCAGGCAAACATTTAGGTAGAACACTGTATACATAATAAATAAAATCTTTAAAAAAAGTAAGTACTGGATTAGACCCAGACTCATCTGCTAGAGCAGGTGTCCCTATTGTATAAAAGCAGGTATGTTCAGAGTGGAGATGAGCCTGTGGCTCTTCTCATAAAGTTTCAAAGATAACACCCCTAGAATGTATAGGGGAATATGTTATAGTTGTGTGGTTTGGCTTTCTAAAGCACACGTATCATAAATGTGAAGATATTTCTTTCCCTCCTCTGACCATCTCTGGAACTTAGCTTTTCTCTCTTATCAACCATCTCTGTTTAACACATGATGTTTTTCTTTTTTAAAATAATTTATTTATTCTTATTTTATGCACATTGGTGTTTTGCCTACATGTATGTCTGTGTGACAGTGTCAGATCTTAGAGTTACAGACAGCTGTGAGCTGCCTTGTGGTTGCTGGGAATTGAACTGGGGTCCTCTGAAAGAGCAGTTAGTGCTCTTAACTGCTGAGCCATCTCTCCAGCCCCGATTTTTTTTCTTAATAATACAATCAAACACAATGTAGAATGCAATGTGACCATCAGGAACACAATACTTGTGTATATTTAGACAATACTTCTTCATAGTAAAAAAAAATGAGATTATCAGATTGTAGCAACAACTGCATGGCAGTATTCACAATGTTTAGGGAAACAGTGGCCCACTTAGACAAAAAGCTTCCCAAGAACACCACCAGATTGGGAGCTGGAGAAGACTGGAAGCACAAGGAGGCCAGGAGGTAGCTGCTCTCCCTTGGCACCTGGCTTCGGGTACTCAGCTGAAGTATGCTCACCATTCCTTAAGAAAGGAAGAGATGACATTGTCCTTAAATGGCTGACCTATGTGTATCAGCTGTGCAGAACTCCCAAGGAGGAGGTGCTGCCCTCCAGATCTCTTAGGTCACCAGGGTCTGCTAGGCAGATTTGAAGAGTCCCTTCTAGAAACATGAGCGGGACTGACCAGGCTCCACTTTCTGAGTGGTCCAGAGCACAGTACCCATGCCCTCAGGTCACTATACTGGAGGCCTTAGACCAGCCCCCCTAGACCCAGAGGGGACAGAGCAGATATGGGTGGCCATCCCCAGCTGTGTTTGGAAGCTAGTGGGTGCATGAGCCCTGGCTCCTTCCCTGAAGGCAATCCTGACTTTAAAGGCCTCAGGGCTGTTTCCCAGAGCTCTCAGGTGATACTCTGACCATCCAAACCCATCCAACATATCAGGTCACACTTGATGGGTAAATCATGGTTCAGTCCCCTGTACTTATTCTCTGTCCAAGGTTACTCACAGTCCACACCATTTCACTACTTCTCTATTTCTTGTTCTGCCTATTTCAAGCCCAGAATGGCGTGGTCCACCCTGATCAGCTTTTAGGTCACTATGTCCAGTGGCTTCCCTGACACAAGTTTCCAGGGGCAGAGCAGGGTCTCCAAGTCCATCCTCAGTGGTCCAGGAATGGCAGCTGAAAGGGCTTAGACTGGAAGTCAGGACTCTGGCATTCAGAAGTCCATCCATCAGATGCTGAATGGCAGAGGCCCAGAGATCTGCATTGTCACAATAAGGAAATCCATTCACAACTGGCTCTGGGCCACTTCTGGCCTTTAAAGACCTTGAACTCAAAGACATACTATCTGAATTCAGGACTTGATCTGGGGGTGTGTACAGCTTCAGGCCCTGGCTGAGATTAGAAGGGGTCTGAGTTTTGTAAGAAGGCTGGTAGGCAGCTCCCTCCAGAAAAGTGTCAGTGTTCCTCAGCCTTGTCACAAAAGCAAACACTGCCAGGCAACAGGAAGAGCTAGTATGATGGGAAGGTATCAATACATCCTACCTGTTAGACTACCAGAGCCACGCCCACCCTCAGGGGGAGGATGCTGGGAACCAGGAGCATAATTGGACTGGCTCAGTGAAAGGATGTGAGGAGAATATTCCTGGCTGGGTATTTTGGGTCAGAGAGACAAACTAGCAAGCTGGCCACTCAGCTGACCAGAAGTTTCTGCTGAGCCTTTGGTGGCCCATGCTCTTGGCCAGCAGATATAGGTCTACCACACAGATATAGATCCACTAGGAAGTGATAGGGTGGCACACACTCTGCCTTCCTGAAATGTACATTTGATTTTCATTTCCTGTGGTTTCAGCATCGTCAATGCCCTGGCTGTGGTTGAACATGCTTGTAATTTGCCCACTGCCATTCAGTACCTGGGATTTAACTTTTTAAAAAATCACATAGCTGGGCATGGTGGTGCACCTTTAATCCCAGCACTTGGGAGGCAGAGGCAACTGGACCTTTGGAAGTCTAAGGCCATCCTTGGAGAACAAGCAAGCTCCATGCCAGTTAAGGCTACATGGTAAGATTCTGTCTCAAGACAAAACAAACACCTATCTGGTTTCCATTTTCCAAGAGACACAGAGCTAAGGAATGTCAATGTTATTAATAGACAATTCCGTGCAATATCATCTCTTGTGTTTTATTTGGAGCAGATGGAGCAGTGAAGGTCACAGGACAGCAGTTTTCCTGGAGCAGTTGTCCTGGCTTCGGCTGCTGAGCGCAGCCCAGTCTTTCCCCTGCTCCCAACCAGAATATCCTAACCCAGGGCCATCACTTTGAAGTTCCTGGTCCTCAAGAACACAAAACCAGCACACCTCTGCAACCCAGTTTTTCCTCTCCAGTTCCAAGGCAGCATCTGGAAGAAGGGGGCTTGTCTGTGGCCGGGCTGTGACTCGGGGCGGGGGTCGTTGTGAACCCTCAGCACACTCCAGACTCTCGAGATTGTGGTAGAAACTTACTGTAGACAGCCACAGGTTTTACCAGTGCCATCGGCAGGTACGCAAAGGGCCTCAGTATTTCGTGACAGGATTGAGAATCCTACAGGAGCAATGAATGGGACAGGATAGCTCGGATGGTCTGTTTTCCCTCCTCAAGTAAAAGTAGAGGTCAAGTCCACCGTTTTTCTAAGGCACACCGAAATTACAGGGGCTTCTGGCACTCACAGCAAGTCCTTTGGGACCTTCGCAAGCCCCGCCTCCTACTGCGCCCACAGCAAGGCTCTCAACCCTCAGTGTCTTCTCTTTATTGGATGGGCACCTGCTGGCAAGAGGGTAAGGCTTGGTCTCTGAGGGCCTGCTGCCTTCAGCGTGACAGCCGCACCCCCGCCCCAGTCTCCCAGCAGGCGCTGCCCAGCTGCCACCCTTATTTTGGTGCTTGGTGCCAGGGGCACCCCCATGCTCCCACCCATGCAGCATTTGCCTCTGGCTTCTTGAACGGTGTATACGCTTAAAAAAAATAATAATGGGGTAAAATCTAAAACAACTGCAAAAGTTTCCATTTGGTCACAACGTACCACATTTAGTTAAAGTGATAATAGTTTCAAAGTTTCTTCCTAGTAGTCCTACTGTATCATTTTTATTTTAACTTCTTTTAATGGAATGTTTATGCCAGCCCAGAAGAGCCTCTCTAAAGTCCTCGGTGTTGTTTCATACGAAGTAGAAAGATCTACTTTTGTCCATTTCAAGGACGGTATGAAGCTCTGTTCACTGTCTTTCAGAAAACAGATCGGTGTGAACATGGTTTTAGGAAGGTTTAAAATATTTCTAAGATGCCTACAAATAGGCTTCCAGTCATCAAATATAACACAGTATGAACAGTAAAAAACTAATGACTAAAATGAAAGGAATACTTAAAGGTCAGAAATTACCAAGAGCATCAGCGGCGGGCGGAGGTGTGGCGCAAGCCTGAGCCCAAGAGGCTAGGACTTGGTTCCATGGGCTAAGACAGGTAGTACATGCCATAAGCCGCGACCGGCCCAGCTAGGATCCCAGGAACCGCGCCGCCGCCGAACGCGGCCGCGGAGCTGTGCAGCTGCGTGCCCAGCGGAAACGGCAGGGGCTTCTCCAGCTCAGCCTCCTGCAGCCGCTTGGCCTTGGCTCGGCGGTTCTGAAACCAGATCTTGACCTGAGTCTCAGTGAGGCTCAAGCTGCTGGAGAACTCGGCGCGCTCAGCAATGGACAAGTACTGCTTCTGGTGAAACTTGCGCTCAAGCGCCAGCAGCTGAGCGGTGGTGAAGGGCGTCCGTGGCTTGCGGTTGTTTTTGTGTTTGCGGAGAGTGCAGGGTGGAGGGCTGGGGGCACCTGAAAGTAAAGAGAAGCACAGGGCGAGCGCTCAAACCTTGGTTGCACACCCCTATCCTGACACTGTCCCACCCCCTACAAAGGAAGGTTGGTGCTCTGTGACCACTTCGCTCAGAGTAGCTCCGAGTAACGAGGTTTCCAAAGCCACGTGGATAAGCAAAGCAAGGGGGCAGGGAAGTGGGGGGGGGGGGCGCTCGCTCTACACTCAGGTCTACTTTCCCAACCCTGGACCTCGCACCTCAAGGAAATTGCGGATATGCAGACTAGTTAGCTGTCGCAAGCATATACAAAGTGGGTAAGGGGGGCAGAAGCCCGAGCGTCCGGGACTGGGAAAGCATTAGGGGTGTCTATCATGGACTGAGGGCCTCGCCCAGGAAGAGACGTGGACGTGGCTGTTGGGCCTGTGCACATTGTCGGGCTCCCATCACCAGTTATCCCATCACCAGTTTGCACTAGGTCTGGGAGGGCTAGTGGCTAGTAATTAAGTTTGGAACCACAGCGCGCATCGTCCCCTGGAATCCTAACCTTGAATATGCGCGCGCTTTTCAGGGCCTGGGACCCGGACACTGAGCACTTACGTGGGGGGCATGTGTGCGTGACCGGTGGGGGCCAGGCCCCGGGCTTCGAGGAACCTGGCGGCCTCTCCTCCCCTAGTTGCCCAGGCTCGGAGCCACGTACGCGCTCAGCCTCCAGCAGTGACTCGACGCTGAAGGGGAGTGGTCCGTGCCCTACGTGGCCCCCTCCGCGTGCTCCGAGCCCCTCCGCGTTCATGTCGAGTGTCGCCCGGGCCATGCATGGGATGGCGGGTGTAGGGCTAGCCGCCCGGCTGGTATTCGCGGGGCGCAGCGGCGGCTTGTTTTGCTAGGACCCTGGGCTCGATGGCTCTCGGGCCCCTCTGCACCCTATAAAAAGGTGGCGGCGCTTTCATGCGCTGCTACCCAATGGTCGTTTCAGCCGATGTGCGGGCCTCTGTGCGGGTTGGATTCACTGCTTTCGGGGGCGGTACTGATGAAGAGGGGCGGGACCACTGCCTGGGAACTGAGTGCCCCAAGACCTGGGGTGGCATTGTCGCACCCACATCAGGCTTTCTGGACCTACTGAGGTCTGTGGGCAAGCTCCTCCTGCGGGAAAGACTGAGAGGGAACACAGGCACCGATGAAGAGATGGCCTCAGCCTCCTGGAACCGAGGACTGGACAGAGCGCGGTGTTAGCCACCGTCTAGCATCAGTTCTTGACGGTGCTCGGATCTCCAGCCTAAGGGCTTAGGCAGAACGCAGTTATGGGCTCGCACCTCCTACAGAGGTGTGGGGTGTAATCGGGATGACCCGCTGCTTTTCTTGCTGAGAAACTGGCTCACTACTATTTTAGTCATGGCGTTCTCTCTGCACCCTGGGATTTGAATGTGACCAACACGATTTTTCTTTCTGGTCCCTTGAGGCCGAGTTGTGGTGTCTTTAGTCTCGGGTCTCTCTTTGGACTTCTGGAGCCTCCAAACATTTTCAGGGCCATTAGAAACTTCTAGGGCTGCTCTTGCGTCCCAGCTTGGACCAGTTGCCGGCTGGAGAGATGTGTCTCAGATCCCAAAAGCAGAGGCCAAGGGAAGGTGGCAGAGGCAGACCTCTTACTAGCCTTAGATGCAGCTAAAATGCAGCTTAGGATGCAAGCGCTTCAGGCTGCTCAAAGCCGGGAATTCTCAACTGGATGCTGGGTGCATTGTCATCTTCTGGTGCCCTGTATTTGCCAGGCGGAATGGCTGATGCAGATTCACGAAAGGCCCCCAGAGAGGGTCTCCAGTTATGCAACTTTCTTTCCCCTGACCGAGACAAGCAGGGTGGTAACCTCCCAATCGCTCTAGCTCTCGAAGACTGAGGATTCGCTCCGGAAGGATGGGGCTGAGGCCAGATAGAGTCCCTCGCTCTTGGTGATTCTTGTCCCTAAACCTAACAGCTCTTCTGGTTTAAAAATACGTTCTCCCATGCTGCAGAGCAAACTGGCTGGGCAGCCTCTTTCTGAAGGAAGAAAACCGGAACTGGAATTTAGAATATATTGAAGATTGATTTAGGAAATCAAGTCTGATTAACGTTCTAGAACACAAAAGCAACATTTACTATTTATATTTATTTGTTATTATTTATTTTATATATATTATATATATTATATTATTTATTATTTAATTCCTATTTTCCATATAATGCATTTGATCATATTCTCCCCCAACTCCTCCTTGGATCCTCCCAATCTCCTTACCCACCTAACTTCATGTTCCCAATCTCTCTCTCTCAAAAAAAACAAAACAAAAACAAAAAAACCCAGAAAAAACAACAAAGTAACAAGACCAAAAATTCAAAATAAATTAAAAAAAAAACCAGAAAACCAGTAAGAGAAAAAAATGCCAAAACAAAACAAAAATTAGCACAGAAACCATGGAGTTCATTTTGTGTTGGCCAACTACTCTTGGGCAACAGAAAACCAGTAAGAGAAAAAAAATGCCAAAACAAAACAAAAATTAGCACAGAAACCATGGAGTTCATTTTGTGTTGGCCAACTACTCTTGGGCCTGCTCTGGAGTATAGTAGATTACCCACTTACCTATATTCCACTGGAGAAAGCTAACATTCCTTTTCCCCAACAGTTTTCGATTGCAAACAGCTTCTTTGCTAGACATAGGACTTTGTGTTCACTTCCCCTTTTCAGTGCTGGGATTTTGGTTTGAATCTGTACAAGTCTTGTGCATGCTGTCAGAGTCTTTGTGAGTTCATATGCATATCAGTCTGGGTGTGTCTGGAAGACACTGTATCCTTGAAATCATCCACCATTTCTGGCTCGTATGGTCTTTCTGCCTCCTGTTCTGTAAAGTTCCCTGAGCCTTGAGAGGATGGATTTGGTAAAGACATCCAATCTAAAGCTGACGGCTCCAAAAGCTCTCCGCACATTGTCTAATTTTAGATATCCTTGTTAATTAATATCTACTGGAAGAAGAAGCTGCTCTGATGTGGGCTGGGTAATGCTCTGCTCTATGGATGTAGCACGGTGTCATAAAGAGTCGTTTTGTTGTATGCAACTTTTTAAAATTTTTATTTTATGTGCATGGGTGTTTTGCCTGCTTGTATGTCTGTGTGAGGGTGTCAGATCTTGCAATGGAGTTACAGACAGATGTGAGCTGCCATGTGGGTCCTGGGAACTAAACCCGGGTCCTCTGGAAAAAGCTCTTAATCACTGAGCCATCACACCAGGCCCTGTTATATGTTCCTTTAGCAGAATAATAATAGTAGGCTTCCCTCTAGGCATATGACTTATCCAGTCTCAGGTTCTTGGACACTTTAGCAGTATCATGTGTATATTCATTCCAGCTGATGGAGTATGTCTTGGATCCAATCAAAAAGTGTTTGATTAATTTCCTTCTTTTTTCTTTCTTTCTTTTGTTTGTTTGTTTGTTTGTTTGTTTGTTTGAGATAGGGTTTCTCTGTGTAGCTTTCAAGCCTGTCCTGGAACTAGCTCTTGTAGACCAGAATGGTCTCGAACTCACAGAGAGTTCTGTGAGTTCTGCCTCTACATCCCAAGTACTGGGATTAAAGGTGTGTGCCACCACCACCTGGCCATGTTTGATTATTTCTATTACAACTGGGCAACCATTGCATATTTATTTTTTGAGATAATCTCTCTTTATGTTGACTATGCTGGCCTTAAACTCATAGAGATCTACTTGCCTTTGCCTCCCAAGTTCTTGGATTAAAGATATGAACCACCATGTCCAGTTTCTCATTTACTTAAAAAATTAGTTTACTACTATTGTATGTGTGATTGATGACATGCATTTGCCAGGGCATAGGGGTGGAGGTCAAAGGACAACTTTGTGGAGTCAGTTCTTTCCTCCTTTACATACATTCCAGGGATCAAATTTTGGTTGTCAGGCTTTTGAGGTAAGTGCCTTTACCATCTGAGACATCTTGCCAGCCCCCACAATTCTTTTTCTTCCTTTAAAAAATTTTCACAGTTTGTTTTATAAATTTTTTTTAATATTAAGTTTTTTGTGGTTTAAGCACATTCTATAGGGGACAAATAGATGCACATAGTAAATTTTACAGTCTGCAGCATCACTCTTTACACTGTACTCTTAGGTCTGGTCTGTATTCTTTTGTTGCTGTTTATTTTTTTTGAGATAAAATTCTCTCTGTGTAGCCTTTGCTGGTGTCTTAGTCACTGTTCTATTGCTGTGAAGAGACACCAAGATGAAGGGAACTCATACAGGTAAACACTTAATTGAGGGTTTGTTTACAGTTTCAGGAGCTTTATAATCCATTATCATCACAGCAGGGAGCACGGCAGTAGGCAGGCTGAAGAAGCTAAGAGCTACATCTTGAACTGTAGGCAGAGAGAGAGAGAAAGAAAAAGATGGGGAGAGACTCAGCCTGGGCCTGGGGCCTGGGCCTGGCATGGGTTTTTTGAAACCTCAAAACCCACCCCCCCTGACATATTTCCTCCAACAAGGCCACACCCCCTATCCTTCTCAAGTAGTCCCACCCCTGATGACTAAGCATTCAAATATATGAACCTATGGGGGCCATTCTTATTCAAACCATTGGAATCAGATGTGTGTGATACCACAAACAGCTCTGTATTCTTGAGTTCTGTTCTGGGGCAGTCACATCTCTTGGAAGCATGTTGGTCCTTTCAGGTCTGCCTTTTAAGATTTCTCGGGCAGCCAGGCGTTGGTGGTGCACGCCTTTAATCCCAGCACTAGGGAGGCAG